AGACAATCTTTACATTTAGAATTGGCATACAGATGTAAAATTATTGCAGTAAAATATAAAGCATTTTATTCAAATATCCATTCAGTATTTTACAAGCACAGAGAGCCGCATCAGATGGATGGAAGAGCCGCAAGCGGCTCCAGAGCCGCGGGGTGCCGACCCCTGTGCTAGCCTACTTTATTGTCCCCAGCAATTTTTAAACCCCACTCAAGTGTATGGTTATTGTCCCCAGCAATTCTGACAACAAACTGACGCCCTTGCATGTGAATAATCTATTACAGCATGTAAAAGACAAAAAAAAAAGCCTTTTAAAATGTATATTGCTGCATGTAGAACACAATGATGCTTTGAGACTTCTTTTTAAGTGCCAGTGAAATATTTGTGCACGAGTTAATACATTATGAGCAGTTTAAGGATTTTTAAGTATTTATTTATTTATCGGTTGGGTATTCTGATAATAAGATCATTATGACCACATCCAACATTTGATTCAGGTTTATCCATCAACAGTCTCGCTTATGTCGGCACTGGTATTTATTTTTTGTGTGTGGGCTTGCTAGTATTTGTGTGTGAGTGCTGATCTTAAAGTTAGAATATGGAACATTTTAATAAAAGGCAATATTTAAAAAATAATAATACCTCCATGGGGCGTTCAGAGGTGTGCAGAATTAATTTACAGTTTCTCCTATTAAAGCTATATTTAAAAAATACCTGAGGGAAAGGGGTGAGTGTTTCATGACAGTGTTTGCATTCAAAACCTAGCTTGTTTGCAGATTCATTATAACAGCTTTAAATCTCTGGTGTATGCTATATGCTTTGTGTGGTCATTGTGTGCTGGCCTCTGTAATAAAGTATCTTATCCTTTCCCCAACAATACTACGTTAGCTAAGAAATCTCTCACCATTCAGTTATGTGCTGTATTAATGATGCAAAAGACCACCCATTCACTCAGAAATAATCTGTGGGGTTTTACATAAGAAATCATCTCTCTGATTAAAGAATGAAGAGAAAACGGTCAGTCTAGTCCTATGCGTTCTGTGCTGCAGGCAGCACACAGTTCACATTACAGTTTAATGAAGAAATCCCAAGAAGCTTGAGCTTTACGAAAGGCAGCTGGGATAAGTTTGTGTTCTGTGATACACAAAGTGCTCTAAACCTTTTGGATGTGCTTCTAACACTGTATGTTTACATAGTTGGGGTCTGGTGGGAAGAGCCAAAATTAGCATTGGGTAGTGAAAGGTCATAGAGCAGGGCAATGAAGATCCCGTTGACGCAAATGATCCAATAATATTTATTTCCTTTGGCCGTGTGATCACTGCCAACATCCAGACCAGAGAAACAAAACCGAAATAAATCATATGAAAGAACACAAGCTAACGTTTGACACTGAAGTACTTCCCTTGAAGCACACATGGAATCAGGAAGGATTTAGACAATGACAGTGACTATATCCAGAGAGACTCGTAGAAGACATTGTCTGAGCGTTCCTACACTCGTTAACAGCAGCGAGACATGTCTGCTAGAGTGCACACAATAAACACAGCCAGTTGGGAGTCTCTGGAAGGAGTTGTTTTTCACAGGCCTGTGTGGTATGCATCAGCGTCCCGGCCCACTCCAACCCACCTCGTGGCTGGCTGGCATTCCTGGCTCATTTTGTAATTATGGCTTCTCTCCAGGCACTTCCTGCCATTTGAATACCCAATGACTACCATCTTCTGGTTGGGGATTGGTTCACACTCCTCACCTGGCTTCCAGCTTTACTTAAAAGTCCAGGAGTCTTTGAAGGATTGCACATCGCTGGCCATCTTTCACACCAAAGTTTTAAATTAAACGTAAAGACATGATGGAATGGTATCAGGAAATGTGTCATGAGTGACTCTCAGCTCCCAACACATCACGTTTTCAATTGATATCTTTAAAACTGACCAAGATAAGACATTTTCTTGACTCCAGTACTCCAGTAGCACACACTAGAGGTGTGTATACAGAGGAGATGATACGATATATTGCGATACGAAAAACCAGATGGTTTTTGCAATTTTTAAGACTGAATTTAATTGGTAAACTCAGGCCAAACGCTTCCAAGACACATTCAGTGTTATGTCATTGTTCCATCAGAATGAAGGCAACAAAAAACTGCTGCCACCTAGCAGTTGGAGCTTGAATTGCACCAACAAAAGTAATACAATAAATATGTTTGCATTGATTCAGTATCATACAAAATATCGCCAAATTTCAGCATATTGATATTACCTTTCATGCCTAGTAAACACTGCAAAAATGTAATTGCCAATCTTTCACTTTCAATAGTTATTAAAGTGTCTGGGTAGAGTAGCTAGCAACTGTACTCAAGTAAGAGCAGCACTACTTTAACACCTTTTACTGATAGCTGCCCAAGAAATTACTCAAGTAAGGGTAAAAAGTATTTGTTAGAAGGATACTTGAGTACTGAAACACATCTTATCTCTTATTTTTAAAATGATGATGACATCAAACAAACAAATGAAAAAAAAGAAGCTATGGGTAAATTTTGGTATTTTAAAGACCAAAAAGGGAAAAATGTAAACAAATGAACAACATAATTATAAGTAACAATTTTAGGCTAAATTTAGACCAACTGAGGACAACATGTTCCTGATATAGAGGGTTTATTTGGTTGTCTGAAAAGGCAATACGTTTAAAAAAAAATACCGCGATAATACCGTTAACCGTGATCATGTTGGTCAAGATAACCGTGAGGTTACATTTTCACACCGTGACAACCCTAGACTCTAGTAGGAATAAATGCCTTGTGAGTCGTTCTCTGGGAAAAGAAAGCCCAGATGCTCCTGTTTGAGGATATAGAGGTCAGCTGGAGGAGAAAGTGGCAGAACACTACAGGACTTGGGTTTTATTTCCTGATATTCCTTGTCACTGATTGGCTAACAGCGACCACTGACTGTTTGCTCTGCAACGTTGATGTTTTATCTCCACAAATAACACAAGCCTGAAGGAGTTCTGCTGTATTCTGGAGTTGCTAATGGTTAGCATTAGCCCCGCCGCCACCAACTAAACCGAAAACAGCCTCCCAGCTAAGATGTTAAGCGACAATGTGACGTAGATCTCTGAGCTAAGCATTATTTTCTTCCGTTTTCTATCAGAAGCTAATGAATGCCGAAGCTAGGGGTAAAAGTCTAGATTCATGTTCAGCCTGCATGACAAGCTCAGAGTGAAGGATCATTTTCAAAAACAATAAGTAAACAATGGTTTTTCTGTAAACCTGGCCTTTAAACTTTGGTTTGAGCTTAAAACATGTGAAGCTTAATAAAAGAAATGAAAGAACATATGAATTCATGCTCTTAATCCACTCTACTCTATGATCTAAAGAGTCTACGTGCCGTGAAACACGTTGATGCATACTTACAATGGTCACAGAGGAAGTTACATGTTGCACACTAATGTTGTTACTATTTGCAACTGTTGGAGGGGAGATGTCAGGGTAAGGTGTGTGCTTGGTCTCAAAAAGCTTTTTCCCCATTTACGTTTTCATCTATTGTTTGCAAACTCCTTTTCAGGAGCGACCCTTGAAGAAACGTGATAGAAATCCTTGAATGTGCAAAACAATCTCACATCAAAGTGCTTTTACCTTTAAAATCCTTAAGTTCTCCAGGCAATATTACAGGACAAACTCCCAGGTGTTTTGTCTCATAGTTTTATAATAAGAGAGAGAGAAAAAAAAGACAAACGACTGAAAATTCTGCTGAAAACATGCAGGCAATAGGTAAATATTTAGCAACAAACAACCAGAACAGAAAAACAGTAAATGAAAGGAATCTCACAGAGTATCAGACAATCTGCACCATTCATCCAGGCGGGAGAGCATGACATGCCTGCTGCAGAAGGATTAGTACGATCAGCTGAGCAAGTCTCAATACCACATTGTTCCTCACAGTTCACCGCTTGTTATTCCTCCAACTCTCCATGCAGCTTATCAGAGGTGCACAGAACCAGCCCCACCACCACCAACACTCATGCCTGCCAAAACTTCAATCACTCACAGCCCACTTCCGGCCATAAACCGTTAACAATCAAGTATGACATGGTGCTAAAACGTCAATTTTCCAGGATCTTTATTGTTTCAGACGCTCTAAGAAACGGCTCGCGTTCAGGACAAATAAACATGATGAGTGGTTATTAAGAAAATCCACTTTGGGTTTGAGATTACGCCTTTGTGCACATGTGACATCTGTTTTTGGACAACAAAAGGCAGCCACACAACATGCTGCTGTGTGAATGTCTCAGGAAAGGGTGTGTGTGTGTCAGCCTGGACTCGCTGTACGCCCTCTCATTGTCTCGGCTTCACACCAATAACAAACACCACGCACTGCTCGGACACACACTCCATCAAAGGTAGGCAGGGCAGTAAATCAGAGGCTCAGTTTAAGCTAGGAAAGATAATATTTTAAGGATTTGTTGGTTGAAATAAAACAGACTGACCTTACAGTTGACTAAGCAAAAGTTTTAAAGTGGATTTTCGTTTTCCAGGATAGCAAAATACACACAACACAGCAAATATCTACCTCTAAAGAGCTTTTGTGTATTCAGGGTTTTGCACTGAAGGCACCTTGGAGAGCCACATCAGCAGCATCTTGCCTTTGAAAGAGGATCAAGCGGAGTAAACGCCCGTAGCTGGCCTCCTCGCCTCTTAAAACCTCTGTAATGGAGATTAAAAGCTCCAAGATGTGCTCGCCTGGCATTCGCGCCAACAGGCCCAGGCTCGCAACAAAAGGAGGAACGCACACGTGTACTCCGTGAACTAAAACTGCTCAAACATCACACCTGCTGGCGATGAGTAAACACACTCATGTTTGACCAGATTCAGCTGCCTTGGGAAATCAGTGATAAGCCAAACAGATGTTGTTGTTTTTAAACAGGGCACCTGAATTCGTTCACCTGCTTTGACCTTATCAAAATGAATGAAATACTTCTCATATGAACAAAATCTAGAAAATATGACTCACCTATGTAGAGGGAGGAGACTTTCCTCTTCACATGATCATCAATATAAGAAACCCCAAGGGGCTGCACTGGTGTGCTGCCAATTCCCAGCAAGAACTGTGCTCCAATCAGCAGCAGATACATCATGTTGGTGTTGGCCTTTAGGGCACACAAAGCTTCCTCACGTTGAGTCTCACTGGCGTTGGAGCAAACGTCCCGACCAGAATCAGTCCTCTGAATTTTCCCCATCTCATACTGTTTTGTCAAAAACTCAGGCAAGGAGGAAAGAAGCGCGCCGAGGGCCATGACAATCCCGCCGCAGCCGATCAGACGTGGTCGGTGTGCTTTTGCCCCAAAGTAGCTGACAAACAGGATCAGTGCCAGGTTGCCAATCTCAAAACTGCTGGCGATCACTCCCACGTCAGCGCTCTGCAGGTTGAAGCGCCGCTCCAGGGTGGTCAGCACGCTCAACTGAAAACCACAAGTCAGACGGATCAAACACAAATTCAAAAACTTGGTGTTCAACTTCAAATAAATACATTTCAAAGACGGACAAGTAACTTGTCCACTTGGCTCTTTAATGGAATGCTGTGGAAAAGTATATAATGCTACTTTACAGATTGTTTTTCTTCCTTTTTTTTGGTCCCTGAAATCTTTCAGAGCATATTTAAGTTTCACAATTTCAACGTCAAAAGATTACCAGATTAAATACAAGATGATGTTTTCAAATCTTATTGCATGAGCTCTGATCTTAGGCCATACGTGTTCACATGTAGTTGGGTTTTTGTAAAACCAAACGTCCTACCCTACCCATCTAGGAAAAAAATTTGGGTCCACACCACCTGATTTTCAGTGAAAAAATTCAGTGAAGAATTGACTACCTGTGAAAAAATAATTATTTTCTCCACAGGAGGTCTGGGCTCTCCTTTAGAGCTAGAGTGATAAGCTCAGCCATCCAGAAGGGGCTTGGAGTAGATCCGCTGCTCCTTCACGTTGAGAGGTGCCAGTTGAGGTGGCTCGGGCATCTGGTCAGGATGCCTCTCTGGTGAGGTTTTCCGAGCACGTGCAACTGGGAGGAGGCCTTAAGGAAAACCCAGGACACGCTGGAGGGACTATGTTTCTCGGCTGGAAAGGGAGCATCTTAGGATTCCTCTGGAGGAGCTGGCCCAAGTGGCTGGGGAGAGGGAAGTCTGGGCCTCTCGGCTTATGGGCTCGACACACGGGAGGCGACAAACGACCGCGATCAGCGATATTTGTCGCCGTCGCTTTTATTACCTGACACACGGGAGGCAATCCGCGGCAGCGGCCAGCGGATTTGCCGTCTACGCGTTCTGTTCCATGGTGAAATTGAAACTTCCGTTGTTTTGTTTGGCTGTGTCAGGTTGGAGGGAATTAAGGTTATTTAAGCGGTTCAGAGTTAAAAAAGTGGTAGATATGATGTTTCACAAGGTGCTGCTAGAGTTATGTGAAATCTTACTTCTGATTTTACTATATAAAACATGATAATAATCAACTTCTCCTCCATGTTTGCTCAGTGAATGAAACCTCCGTTGATTGGTCCTCGTCCGAGCGACAGCGATGAAAAGTTGAAAATATTTCAACTTTCTGGGATTGCGTCGCTGGGTGGCCTGTGCACGACATGTGCATGAGCACAAAATTCCACACGCACGTTTTTCGCGTTTTGCTTGGTAGGAGGAGACCCGTGATTATCGCTTTGTCGCGCATGTCTCATTGAAAATGAATGGAGGAGAGGCGATGTCGCCTCCCGTGTGTCGAGCCCTTTAGGCTGCTGCGCTATCGACCCAAATGGGTGGAAGGATGGATCACAGATTAAGGTTTTAAAAATATGTGTAATTACTTTTTCACATTGAGCAGGTTTGTTTAACAAAAAGAACAACAACAAAAAAAAAACAAGCTCATACACAGCATTGCATATGCACTTGGTTATGAAGGTAATCCTGCAAGTCATTCTGGTTCTGAAAGTGTACTTTTCCTTTAACGCACGATCCTAAAATTACAAGCCATTCAGATGTTCCATAGCGGGGCTCCTCCCTGCCAACAGGCATCTGTTTCTGAATACTGAGGCAAAGCATATTTGCCTCCAGAGCTCATCGCGGGTTCCTGTTTTATCAGCCACCACCCACACCGGAGTTTAGAACCGACCAGAAACTTCCAGCTGAAGCACACACAGCAGAAATGTTTAGACTGGTTTGCTTGTAGCACGGCTGCACTGGAGAAATTTCAGGGCTGAAGGTTTAGTTTTAAAAATTAGGGTAGAAAATCCCTCATTCACTGCTTTCACGTAACAGGGATTTTTTAAAGAGTGCTGCAGGGGAAACAAACTGTGAAGCAACCTTAACTAAAGGGTCTTATGCTGACTAAGTATAATTCTTAATCACAATACTTTTTTTGCTGCATCTTGTGAATACAGTACATTTACTATTTAAAATGTAACTAATAAACTTTAAATCATTCATGAGTGCTTCTCTGCTGGGTCAACTTCTGTTAACAAAGCACAGTATTTTCATTTGAAATGCTATGATGAAATGAGCTTTATGCGCACAGGTTTCATTCTGAAATATTCATTAAAATCCATCCAGCGGTTCATGAGAAACAGTTACGCACAAACATGGGGCAAAGCAGGAACCTGTCAGCGTCGGATACACGATGAGCGATACAAATGTCATTATTAAAAGGACAACCAATGCCCAGCCCATCCCTTTATTGTGCTCAAATTTAGTTTACTTGTATGACTTTTAAGAGTCAGAACTGACAGCGGGTCACGCAGGCAGCTGCTCTGAACATGACTGCAGTAAGCCCCTCACTGCAGATCAAAGAGAAGAGAGGAGGACTGCTGGAAAAAGGAAGCATCAGGATGAGTTACGCTTCCCGGGTGGAGGTTTGTCAGGAACTTGGACACACTCGATAGGCAATATTGACACCCAACTGCATCTACCCGGTTGCTATAAAATCAAACGTCTCATACCTGCCTGCAAAAACAATATAGTCAAATCATTTCCCTCCAATGGAAAGCCTGACTCTAACAGTTTTCCAGGGAAAAGAGGAAAAACTCTAAAGAAAAAGTTCAATGTGTTCAGCTCTTCAGCTTAGGCAGGCAGGCAGCTTTCCAGGAGACGTAAACTAAATTAAATTATAGGGAAAAAAGTCAATGGAAATGAAAGCCACATTTACACAACATTACTACTCCAGACTGTGGAAATGTTTCATCTGTTGCATAGCAACAAAATGCATCATTAAACTGAGCGGCAATCCTTTAACAAAAAATAAACAAAGAAAAGAACTACAAGTCTTATCTAATCACAAGAAATACCAATCTCTTCAGTTAATGTGTGTGTTATCAGAGCACACACAGAAATCATGTTATGCTCAACAACTGAGCAGCTGTTTACAACTGAAGCAATGACTATTTAATATCATTTCCTCTTTTTTTATGGGGTATACACACAAAAACGTTAGCTAACAGGAATTCAACTGCCCGGAGAGATCAGTTAAATGTTACTCATGAGATCATAGCTAATTGTTTAAAATAATTTGTATAATGTGTGTTTGGTATGGGCACAGTTGCACCTTGAAAAGTTACACCACAAGCACCACCTTCAATATAAAAATGTGTTTAACAGTTGCACCACAACTCTGACTGCCCAGATGAACAAAAGCACTTTAGTTTTTAAACATTTACTGCCTTTTCAGGGGTGCTTGACGTCAAGTGCTCTGTTAATGGCCACACACACACACACACACACACACACACACACACACACACACACACACACACACACACACACACACACACACACACACACACACACACACACACACACACACACACACACACACACACACACACACACACACACACACACACACACACACACACACACACACACAAATAGCCCAAAGCTAAGACTAACAATAAATTACCCGAGTGTAACATTTCTGATTTATGTCTTCATTAACCTGACCCTAAACACCAAGCCCTTTGGGAAATCAGTAAAAGAATCATCTAATGTTAAAAAAAAACAAAAAACGAGAGACTGAAATAGAATCTGATTGAAAACCATGAGCTAGATCAGAGGACAGCTGAGAGTAATGGGATTTTTAAAACGCCGGTAGGGTTCAGTTCTGCTTCTGACTTCTTCCAACACTCAGCTCCTTCGGTGCAACCTCGAACTTGACAGGTTTGTGGACACGTAACGGTTCAGGTGTTAGTTTGACGTTGGTGCTTCCACCTTTCAAGTGTCAGGTTTGGCTGCTGACAGAGAGGTGTAAATATAACCAAAAAGTCTTACACACACAGGACCCAGTGTGTGCAGGACCCAGAAACCATTTAGAGACTACGCAATCGAGTGATAATGTGTACAATATTGAAGGCTATTAAAATTTGGATGAACTGATACTGAACAAAGTTACTACCAGGCTGATTTCTAGCTTTTATGCAACAATAGGTGTCTTTGAATGAGTTAAATAAAGTATCTACAGTAAATTTCTATAGGAAAGCGAGGCTCTCTAGTGAGGAGTTCACATGTTAAATGGTATGAAATGTTATGACCCATTAATCATATTTTCAGTTTTCATGATAAAAAATATCTAAAATGATTATGTAATCAGTCCAATGACAGAATTAGTTATTTATCATTTTGCACAGCAAAGAAAAAACTCAAATAATTTTTCTATGTCTCTTGTAGATCATTTGGAAATTCTTATAACATTGATTTTCAAACTTTTAGCACCAGAAAATACCAACATAGTGGCACCATGGAGCCAGGAAAGTGATCACAGCACAGTTTTAAGGGCTGCAGATACTATTCTCTAACTTGATCCAGTGACTACCTCCACTGGAGACTCAAAGACTTTCTAAGCAATGGATCATCTCGGAAGGAAGAACCACCTGTTAAATTCAGAATAGATTTTAAGATCCTCCTTCTCACATATAAAGCTCTCAATAATCAAGCTCCATTATACATCAGTGGTTTGATTATTCCATATTAGGGATGTCTCCTTCCGATATCGATATCGGAAATAATTCGATATCAGCCCACAACACTGTATCGGACTACACTCACCTAAAGGATTAGGAACACCTGTTCAACTTCTCCTTAATGCAATTATCTAATCAACCAATCACATGCCAGTTGCTTCAATGCATTTAGGGGTGTGGTCCTGGTCAAGACAATCTCCTGAACTCCAAACTGAATGTCAAAATGGGAAAGAAAGGTGATTTAAGCAATTTTGAGTGTGGCATGGTTGTTGGTGCCTGACTGTCTGGTCTGAGTATTTCACAATTTGCTCAGTTACTGGGATTTTCACACACAACCTTTTCTAGGGTTTACAAATTATGGTGTGAAAAGGGGAAATCATCCAGTATGCAGCAGTCCTGTGGGCGAGAATGCCTTGTCGATGCTAGAGGTTAGAGGAGAATGGGCCTACTGATTCAAGCTGATAGAAGAGCAACTTTGACTGAAATAACCACTCGTTACAACCGAGGAATGCGGCAAAGCATTTGTGAAGCCACAACACGCACAGCCTTGAGGCAGATGGGCTACAACAGCAGAAACCTCCACCAGGTACCACTCATTTCCACTACAAATAGGAAAAAGAGGCTACAATTTGCACAAGCTCACCAAAGTTGGACAGTTGAAGACTGGAAAAATGTTGCCTGGTCTGACGAGTCTCGATTTCTGTTCAGACATTTAAATGGTAGAGTCAGAATTTGGTGTAAACAGAATGAGAACATGGATCCATCATGCCTTGTTACCACTGTGCAGGCTGCTGGTGGTGGTGTAATGGTGTGGGGGATGTTTTCTAGACACATCTTAGGCCCCTTAGTGCCAACTGGGCATCATTTAAATGCCACAGGCTACCTGAACCTTGTTTCTGACCATGTCCATCCCTTCATGACCACCATGTACCCATCCTCTGGTGGCTACTTCCAGCAGGATAATGCACCATGTCATAAAGCTCCAATCATTTCAAATTGGTTTCTTGAACATGACAATGAGTTCACTGTACTACAACGGCCCCAAGAGTCACCAGATCTCAACCCGATAGAGCATCTTTGGGATGTGGTGGAGCGGGAGCTTCATGCCCTGGATGTGCATCCCACAAATGTCCATCAACTGCATGATGCTATCCTATCAATATGGGCCAACATTTCTAAAGAATGCTTTCAGCACCTTGTTGAATCAATGCCATGTAAAATTAAGGCAGTTATGAAGGCGAAAGGGGGTCAAACACTGTATTTGTATGGTGTTCCTAATAATCATTTAGGTGAGTGTATACCAGACTGCATCAGAAAATCTCCGATATAAGCAGTGTCAAGGTTCACATTATTCCAACCAATGGTTAAAAAAATTGTCTTTTTTTCATACTTACTGTTGCTTGCTCTTGTTCTCCAATTGAGTAATATCACTCGATCAAGCCTTTCATCAATTCCACACTACAAAATAGGTTAAAGTATGTTTGATTTGTACTGAGATCGTATTGGATTGATATCAGGATTGGTCAATACTGAAGGCTGCAATATCAGTATCGTAAATGAAAAAGTTGTATCGGGACATCCCTATTCCATACGTTCCTAACAGAGCACTTCACTCTCAGACTGCAGGTTAGCTGGTGGTTCCTAGAATATCTAAAAATAGGATGGGAGGCAGATCTTTTAGTCATCAGGCTCCTCTCAGTGAGGTGGAATGAACTCCACAAAAATCGCGCATCACCATGCTATGTTTTTTTTTTTTTTTGTCAAGTGCCTTGAGACAACGTTTGTTGTGATTTGGCGGTATGTAAATAAACAGAATTGAACTGTTTAGGAAGAAGGCATCTCAGATTTGGCTCCGAAGTGTCAAATCATAAAATGCCATTGTTTGTACAAATTTGTTTGTGTTTGTACATACCACTGTTGAACAGAATCAACAATCACAAAAATAAATGACCAAAAATCACTCCTTTGCATCGCTTACACCAAAATGGTCTCAAAACAAGGAAGGTGAATTTAGGTAAGCTGGAAAAAAACAACAACCTGGGAGCAGTGATCTGAGCATCTGTTGCTTTTCATTTTTTGTTGCAGCTAGGCTGGTAAATCAGGACAGGCAGCATTCCACTAATAGTCTTTTATACCAGCCCCAAAGAAAGAAAGAAGGCCATAATAGTTGAGTTTTTCCTACTCCCCTGCCAACAAACATGCTTTACGTAAATACAATCATACAATCAGAAGTGGACATTTAAGTCAGCACCAGCTTTTCAGGCTGACACTGTGCCAGGTGCTTAATGTCCTGTCTGAGCTAAGAAAACCTCATGGAAATGAGCCGGCCTGGCCTGACAAGAGAACAGGAACAGTCTGTGTCCAAACCTCACCATCCACTCCTGTTTGAACAGGTGTCCAGATCTAATGCGCCATAGAAAAATGGCTGCCAGATCAGTTTGACCTGAGAAAAATGCAAAGGAAGATATTTCTCTTTATCAGAAGTGACTCTGCAGCTGCTCAGAGCTGCTGGATGCTGAGCAGGTCCACTTAAACGGAAGATAAAACGTTCCACTCCAAATATGGTTGAGGCATTTAGGGTTCAGTCGATTAATTGGGAGCAAGCTGAAGGCATCACCACCAGTCTTGAGGGGAATAAACATTGCTAATATGAAACAAAATGTTCACAGCAGTTGCCTGAGGCTGGCTTCAGGGAGTGTATATGTTATGAGTCTTTGCATGCTTTCGTGTTCTTATCTTTTGACATTTTCATTCCAGTGGCATTAAAACTATAAACTTTACAGAAAGAGCCAACCTTTGAGAATCCCCTATCTGTCATCAGTGTGAGTAAGCGTGAAAGAGCTGTTAACTACGGGAAATTAAGAAACAGGACGGAGGTGGGGTGGAGGATGGAGGTCTTGACCTTGAATGACACATTGAATCAAATGATCCGACAGGCTTTAAATCTTTAAACATATACAGATTATTATTTTGTTAACCTAACCCGACCTTTAAACGTTTTTGATAATATCTGGCATTGTTTGAGTTTAAACGCATCAGTGATAAGAAATAAACAACAGCAGCATTAAATCATTTAAGCATTTAGACTGTTGGAGGCAGGGTGACCTGGAGAACCCAAACCCTGACCTCACATGCTTGCAGGAACCTGGAAGTCCTGCTGGACCTCTGGGTGTGTGTGAACTCACCAGATAGGCTCCCACGGTGCCCTGTGCCAGCATGAGGGCGCATTCTGATATCAAGAATATCTTTATGTTTGAGAAGCAGGAGGAGGTTTTGCTGAGGCCGTCTCTTTCCAGCATGTTCCCGCTGCTTCGGTCCGAGTCCCGGTGCTTCTTCACCTGCATCCTGGCTGGCACACAGCGCTGAGAACGTAAACCCAAAAAAAACGCACCGGCCACGTTGGCAGGTTCACGGTTTCGCTTTCCTCCTCCGGAAGGCTACATCCGCGCTGCCTCGTAGTTGGCGCCGTGCGTCTCTGGATCAGCGGGTTTGTGTGGCAAGCTAGTAAACACACGTCCGAACTCCGCGCGTCTCCCTGGCTCTGTTAAACATCTCCTCCGCCACGACGACAGCGCCACGAGCGGACATGTGAACTCCTCGAAGGGTTTAACGAAGAAGGCACGGTTAGAAGTAAAGCACCGGCGCGGAAATGTCTCTCGGTGCGCATGTTTTCTCCGCAAATGTGTTTGCGTTTATAAGCGCCAAGTTCTGTTTCGAACAGCGGCAGATCCGGTCTGCCATGGTCCCTCATCCAGCAGCGACTGCCGGGAGAGTCTGGGCTTCCACCTCCCACAGCTGCTGCGCAAAGCACTCCCCTACACACACGCACGGCGCGCGCGGCCCTAGAGGCGATGTGCGGCATAACTCTTTCTGCTCCACTTGGAAAAATACAAGAGTCCACAAGCTATGTGGGCTCCAGCGTGTGGTTTGCTTTTCGGGGTGTTTTTTGAAAACCAAATATTTTAATTATTTAAAGAGAACAAAAATAGCGCTGCTGCGTTGCTGCAGGAAGTTTGCAGGTTCAAATCCTGGCTGAGTTTGCATTTTCTTAGCATGCATGTGTGGATGGATTGTATCCCCCGTTCCCAAAACATGCATGTCAAGGTGATTCAATTTTGTGTGTGTGTGTGTGTGTGTGTGTGTGTGTGTGTGTGTGTGTGTGTGTGTGTGTGTGTGTGTGTGTGTGTGTGTGTGTGTGTGTGAATGGTTGCTCTCTATTGACTGGTGACCTGTTCCAAGGTGTCATTTGCCCAATAACTGCTGGAGATTAGTGCTGGGTAGGGACCAGGCTCCCCACAATACTGAGGATAAAGCAGTTTAGAATGTGAGTGAAAGACAACCAAAGACTTTATTTTCTATACCAAGCAAATTACCTGCAATAACAGAAATAATTTAGCTCCATACTCAGCTCAACTTGACAGCGCGGCTTCAAGCCCTTTCTGCGACAGGTATCAAGCTGCTGCTCTTTTCCAACAGCTCGAATCTGTAGTTTTTTTTTTTTTCCAGAAAGCAATGCCGCCAATTTGCCGCAACGCCAAGCTGGCATCAATGAGCCTTAGGTTGTTGATAAGTGGTCAGACTGTGGCAGTAATGTGGTGCAATCATGCCCTTTACGCGATGACTGTAAAAAGGGGGTATTGGCGGTGTATGTGATGCCATGGACTTCTGTTTATCTTGGACATGACTTGCTTTTTATTGCGATCAAAGCTTTGCTTTTTTTGAAAAGTCACTCATAAAGATGTCTGTCCTCCATAGTCCCTGTGCAGTCACTGGTGACCTGATCTCCAGCTCTAACAGAGAGAAGCTCCTGGAACTCTGCATCACTCCAGTTCATCATCTCAGCTGATTCTGTTTACAAAAGCCAATCCCTACAGCCCGCGTTTACTTTCATTTTCAATATAGTTGCAGGCTAGAGCTTGGCAGTAACTTCCCACATGATGATGACACCTTCCTCTGTTGTGCCAAGGCGTAATATGCATTCACAAGTCTGGCAATATTACTATCAAGCGTGGTGGCACGAATGCCACAAAATTCCTGCAACGCCATGCCGCCACATCGCGTTATAAGACACACCTTGGCAACAGTATTATGCTGATTTTCTGGCATGGTGTGTCTTCTAAAAAGGGCTAGTGCAACTCAAATTTATTAAGTCTGGCCTTTCCATCAATAACAGGTCAGTGTTTTCTGCATATTTTCACTACTTGCTTTGACATGGTTCCAAGCATACCAAGTTGTGCTGAAAACGAAACATCTGCAACAGTCAGTCATTGATTGACTAGTGGTGGAATCGTTGGTTACTCCAGAAATGTCGACCTCACTGACCCACGGCTCTCAGCCGTTTCTGGGATCAGAGTCTGACAAAAAGCTGAAGACAGAGCACAATGTTCAACATCATTACCATGTCCACCATTGTTGTGCTGTGTTGTGTTTTAGTGTGACATAGATATCAACTTGCTCTTCCTTTGTGTTAAATGAAGATCGCCTCATGCTTTGTGGGAACTACGAGTCCCCCCCACACATACATACACACACACACACACTCCCCCGCTAAGACAAGCACACCCAGAGTTGTCGGTTACAGAGGTTTCACTGGAAATAATGTATTTTTTTAGTTAAGCACCCGGAAGTCTGCCCATGACTTGTATTTAGAAAGTTTCCGAATGTTTACCACTCCTTTTGTGTTTGACTTCCTGTCTGGCCCGATTTGAACTGTGGAGTTTGATGCAGTCTGGAAGTGTAGAATGTAAAAAATAGACTTGGAGAATGAGCAATGCGTATGCTTCTGGTATGCTTCCAAAACTTTATGGTTTGCAGCCAGGGGAAATGTGTCCATCCACTATAACAGCGGCTAATTACTGCATACTTCATTTCGTGGATGTTTTCTAGAAATTATGCATCCAGTGGAAAGACCTAGTTACTCTTGAATGCTAACCAACCATCTCTTTAAATAAAGAATAGTTCTGGATGTTAAGTAGAGACCTGCATTGGAACTGGGATCCCGCAAGACCTAACGCAAATCAAGCAGGAGCGGGTGGTAGTAAGGTTGCTGAGAGAGGCTAAAAAGTCTCAAGATTGTCAGGTAGTACAAATGAGGTTGGTAACAGTCCTGCAATTAGTCTGGCAAGTCATGCTAAATGTGTGACTATTTAGTCAGGCCACAGCCCATTAATGGCTCTCAGTGATGGTGCAGGATCTATGGTTGTCTTTCAAACTGTCTCCACGTGCTATTGGATTGCAACGTGATGTACCCACCGTTACAGATGTCAGTCAACAGGGCAGTCTGCCATACACCATCAAAAAAGTTGCAAATACATCCATTTTCTGAATAAACATAAGTACCTTTTCTGCTTTTGGCTCAAAGAAAAGCCCAAATCAAAATAATCCAAAGTTTGGTCCAATCCCATTTCAAACAAGCCATCGTCATCTTTGTTTTTTTCAGTAACATCCCGCCCATCAACAGAGTGCTGTGATGGCCCACCAAACCAATAGAGCGCTGTGACTGGTTCGCTACGTAGTTGTCGTTATCTTAGTTTTGCTCACTTGCACTAACATCCCACCCATCTGGCTGATAGAGTGCTGTGATTTGCCAGCCACAAAACTGGCTGGTGCTACGGAGGTTCCAATGGAGCGTTGCTAGACTGACATGCAGAGCAAAACCCTTTAGCTTTGGCAAATGACAGTCTGGACTCTAGTCTATCCTTCAATGTGACTGGTTCTTTTTCTTGACAAGAATTCAGTCTTTAGACTCATATCAAACTTGTTTAAATAACAACCCCCCTCCCCAACCTTCGCATTGGCTAGCCTTATTTAAAACCAGCAACCCTATAAGGCATGTCAACTCTGCTTTTTAAATGTATTATAATTTCCTAAAAGGCTGTTTACCAAATAAATGTAAAATATTTAGTTTCATATTTATGTTAGAATAATGCAGTGGCAGGGGATAATACAAGTTTGCGACCTCAAATCAGTTCAAACAATTTAAATTGGATTTTAGCAAAAACAGAAAGCTGCTTATTGCCATTCTGTGTCCTTTGGAGAACTTTGCTAAACATATAGCAGAAGTTATGATGTTTGCATAACATGTTACCGTCTGTTATTACTGGATTATTATCTCAGCATGTCTGGGATGAGGCTTTGCAACAGCTATGATGTAAAGTAACCACATAATTAGATAATTATTGGGATGAACCAGCAGGATGACAAACAAATGTTATGCTATTGCTGTAAGGATTTTATGCACAGTTTTTATTTAGCGATGGTGTTAGCATGTCAGCTAAATGATAAAGAGCAATAGATGAGATGTGAAATGGGTTTATTGCAGTGGACGAAATCAGTACCTAAAAGCAGGATTATTAAATGAAATAACAACATATTGGGTTATAAAATTTACTAAACACTTTGTTTTGTTTCGTTCATGCAGCTTTGAAATATGTTTTATTTTGCAAAACAATAGATTAAATTCCACCTTGGCTAAACCTACTACTACTACTATCATTTTATTATTTTATGACTAATAATACGTAATTCAAATTGACATTTTATGCCATATTAAAGTAAAATGTACATTTGAAACTGAATGAAATAATTCAGTAATAAGACAACAACTTTCACATTTCCATTATTTTACGACTTGTTCTGATGTGGAAGTTAGACCTGCAGATCTGTGTCGAACTCCTTCTTCTCTAAGAATGAGATGAGCCAAAGCAAAATGAAAGTGGTAAAAGATTTCGGCAAGATTTAAAAGTCAGCTGTGATTAATTTCAGCTCCCTCCTTCTCAGACTGTTTTGGCTGCTATCCAAAGTAAAGTAATCATGAATTGTGGACGCTCCCTCGCTTTCAACCAATACACACCCACACAAAAAAACATCACAATAATTCAGTGCATATCTTTCTATCTTCCACCAGCTGAGAAAATAAAACTGTAAGACAGAAAAGCAGGGGATTCTTATGTCAAATACATTATTTTAACACATCGTGATATCAGAGTAACTCTCAGCAGAGCAGCAATGTGACAAAACTGAGAACAGGATGTGAACGTGGAAATCTAATGTGCGCAGTAGCTTCTGAAACAAAGCTGTATGTGTGAAAGAGACATACAAAACTGAAATGTAGTATAGTTGCTGTGCAAAGACCTGGGGAAGAATTTTGCCAATTTTAGCCATATCTTCCCCATAAAACATGTTTTTACAAGGGCAAGGACTGTAGGATTATGGGAACGGGTACATTAAAAAAAAGGTAATAGCAGAATTTAATTTGATGTAATTTAACTGATAAAGAACTGAAGTTAGTTCTTGTCCATTTAGTTTTTGAGTCAAGTTTAAAAAACAAGTTGTGAAAAAAGTACAAAAATAACAACAATATTTGAAAAAAGAAGTTAAATTAAGTCTTAAAGGTATAGAAAACATTTTTTAATGATTATTTCTGATTAAATTTATTCACTCAGATTTTGTCATGCATGTTGAACATGAAATAGTCTCCTACACTTATCTCCTGCATGAGCTTCTGATAGAAAATAGACGGTGAAACACTAAGATTTGAAAAGCCTGACAGATCTACATTAAGTGGTTGCTTGGACTCACCCATACTGGCTCTTGACGGGAAAGGCTGTTGTTGTTTTAGTGTCCAGAATCAGCAGAGAACATCTTGGCTAGTAGCTAACCAATAGCATTAGCAACTCCACCACATGGCAGAAGCTCCTCAGGCTTGTGTTGTTTGTAGAGATAAAACATCAACTTTGCAGCACAGACTCAGTGTTAGAGTTGCTTTGCTGTTATCCAATCTGAGGCAAGATGTCCAA